GAATTCAGTGTGATATTCCTGAGGGTGGCCTGGTCCCTAAATCTCTGTACCGTACAGCTGAGGAGCTGGAAAACGAGGAGGTTAAACTGTGGAATGAAACCATCTACAAGAGCGCCAGTGTGTTAAAGGGGGCTCCACACGAGGTACTCAAATGTCAAGAATGTACCAGACACACACTGTACTCCGTTTACTTTAGATGTTAAACTTCAGATGTGTATATGTTGATCATTGGTGCCATCTGGTGGTTATGATATGGCAGTGTAGAGCTCAAACGCTGTTGGCACAAGTTCTGAAAATGTGTTCAATTGTGCAGTTTAATAGTGCATTATGATTGTGTTAGAAAAGTGAATATCATTTTAATTGGCTTTCTTTAATTTTATGGGTGTGAATTGGAAAATTTATTTGTAGGTTGTACCCCTATTTTATTTTATTGTTAAATTAATGTTTTATTGAATTGTTTAATTTAATTTAATATTTCTTTGTTTTATCATATTTTGTTTTATTTTAATATTTCATTGTTTTGTTTAATTTTTATTTGTACTTTGTTTTTATTTTAATATTGTTTTTTACTTTTCTTTATCATTGTATTTTGTTTTATTTTGACATTTAATAGTTTTGTTTTGTTTTATTTTATTGCTTTGCTTTCATTTATTTAACCTTTATTTCGAAATGATATTTTATTTTGTTGTTTTGTTTTATTCTATTGTTTTATATATTTTAGTTTTATTTTATTTTAATCGTTCATTGTTTTTTGCATTTATTTTTTTATTTTATAATTTTGTCTTATTTTTCTTTTGTTTTCCTTTTTTATAATTCGATTGTTTTATTGTAAAACATTCAATTATTGTTTATTGTATTTGGTTTTATGTTAATATTTATTTGTTTCATTTTATTGCTTTTCTGTTTTATTTCAAATAGTTTAATTTTATTTTGTTTAATTTATTTTAATAGTTTATTGTTATTGTGTTTAGTTTCATTTCATTATTTCATTGTTTTATTGTTTTGCTTTATTTAAATTTTTTTATTTAATTTTATCATTACATTGTCTTGTTTAATTTTATTATTTAGTTTAATGTTAATAGTTCTTTGTTTTTATAGTATTTTGCTTTATTTTATTATTTCATTGCTATATTTTGTTTTATTGTTTTGCAATGTATTATTTTATTTTTGTTTTATTTATAAAATATGAGTTTTTATTATTTTTTAATTGTTATTTTAGTTCTATTTTTATGTTTAATAGTTTTGTTTCATTTTATTAATTTGCTTTTTATTTATCTCTTATTTCGAAATGTTATTATTTTTGTTTAGTTTTTATTTTAATAGTGCAATGTTTTTTTGTATTTAGTTTTTTAATATTTCATTGTATAGCTTTTTTATAGTTTTATTTTTTATATTTTGTTTTTACGCATATTTAAAAAAAGTCATTGTTTTACTGTACTTTGTTTTTTTCATTACTTTATTTTATTGGTTTGCTTTTTTTGTTTTATTTTAATATGTATGTGTTTTATTTTATTTCTACATTTTATCTTATTGTATTTTGTTTTATTTTATTTCATTGTTTGTTTAGTTTAATTCTATTTTATTCATCCTCTTTAGTTTCATATAGTAGTCTTATTTTATGGTGAACAAAACTGTGGCTGTTTTGTCCAGATTGGGATGTGTTGTGGACTATTAACCAAAGAAAAATCCCTCTGTTGATGTTTTCAGGTGCTCATAGAGATTACAGACGTGTCGTCCGTCATCACGTGGGACTTTGATGTGTGTAAAGGCGACATGATCTTCAATATCTACCACTCCAGAAGAGCTCCTCAGCCCGTTAAAAAAGAGGGACTGAGCGCACACAACCTGGCCTGTCCTGCCGGAAACAACGTCCAGTTCATTGACCGATCCTGGATGCTCGGCCAGGACTACAGTATGGTGGAGACAGCCCTCACCTGCAGAGAGGGAGAGAGCGTACAGGTCAGACCCTAAGAATAAAACTACATTATATTAAAGTTAAACCTGCTTTAAACAATGTTTTTTTCATGATCTTCTAAAAAGGTCTTTGTCTGGATTATTCCTCTAACTGTGTCCTGTTCTCAACGTTTTCTCTTCAGGGCTCTCATGTGACGCGCTGGCCTGGTTTTTACATCCTGCAGTGGCGTCTGTACAGCACTCCGTCCTGCTCGTCCTCCAGTCGGCCGCGTGTAGATGATGTGCTGGCGTCTCTGCAGGTCTCCTCACACCGGTGCAAAGTCATGTACTTCACTGAGGTGCTGCAGTCCGCTGACTTCAGGTCTGTGCCTTTACACATTCACAGCTAAAGCCCTGAGCACAAGTCAGAATTATTAGCCCTCCTGAATTATTTGCCCCCCTTTTTATATTTTTCCCTCCAATTTCTGTGTAATGGAGAGATTTTTTTAAACACATTTATAAACATAATAGTTTTAGTAACTTATTTCTATGAACTGATTTCTTTTATCTTTGCCTTGATGACAGTAAATAATGTTTGACTAGATATTATGGATAGTTATGGTGTCAGGATACTGGTATTTAGCTTAAAGTGACATTCAAAGGCTTAACTAGGTTAATTTAGACAATTCTGAATATTGACGTCTCTCAAAATACATTAATACATTTTCATGAAAATGTAATCTATTAAATATAATCTTCAGATCGTCTTTGTGGACTTTTTTTGAGTTATTGTCACAGTAAGCAATTTTGTCGTGTTTAGACGTCCGTTAGACGTTCGTGTTTAGGCGTCCGTTAGACGTTCGTGTTTAGGCGACCGTTAGACGTCTGTGTTTAGACGTCTGTGTTTAGGTGTCCGTTAGACGTCCGTGTTTAAACGTTCATGATTAGAAGTCCGCGTTTAGGTGTCCGTTAGATGTCCGTTATTTGTGTTTAGGCGTCCATTAGACGTCCGTGTTTAGACATCTGTTAGACGTCCGTGTTTAGGCGTTCGTTAGACGTCAGTGTTTAGACGTCTGGGTTTAGACGTCCATGTTTAAACGTCCGTGTTTAGACATCCGTTAGACATCTGTGTTTAGGTGTCTGTGTATAGACGTCAGTGTTTAGACTACCGTTAGACGTCCATCTTTAGATGTCCGTGTTTAGACGTTCATGTTTAGACATCCGTTAGATGTCCGTTGTCTATGTTTAGGCAACCGTTAGACGTCCCTGTTTAGGCGTTCGTTAGACGTCTGTGTTTAGATGTCCATGTTTAAACGTCCGTGTTTAGACATCTGTTAGACGTCATTGTTTAGGTGTCTGTGTTTAGACATCAGTGTTTAGGCTACCGTTAGACGTCCGTGTTTAGACGTCCATCTTTAGGCATCCATTAGACGTCTATGTTTAGGCGTCTGTTAGAAGTCCATGTTTAGGCGTCCGTTAAACGTCCGTGTTTAGCCGTCCATTAGATGTCTGTGTTTAGCCGTCCATTAGACATCCGTTTTTAGCCATCCATTAGACGTCCGTGTTTAGCCGTCCATTAGACGTCCGTGTTTAGCCGTCCATTAGACGTCCATGTTTAGCCGTCCATTAGACATCTGTGTCCGTTAAACGTCCGTGTTTAGCCGTCCATTAGACGTCTGTGTTTAGCCGTCCATTAGACGTCCGTGTTTAGCCGTCCATTAGACGTCCGTGTTTAGCCGTCCATTAGACGTCCGTGTTTAGCCGTCCATTAGACGTCTGTGTCCGTTAAACATCCGTGTTTAGCCGTCCATTAGACGTCCGTGTTTAGCCGTCCATTAGACGTCCGTGTTTAGCCGTCCATTAGACGTCTGTGTCCTTTAAACGTCCGTGTTTAGCCGTCCATTAGACGTCCGTGTTTAGCCGTCCATTAGACGTCCGTGTTTAGCCGTCCATTAGACGTCCGTGTTTAGCCGTCCATTAGACGTCTGTGTCCTTTAAACGTCCGTGTTTAGCCGTCCATTAGACGTCCGTGTTTAGCCGTCCATTAGACGTCCGTGTTTAGCCGTCCATTAGACGTCTGTGTCCGTTAAACGTCCGTGTTTAGCCGTCCATTAGACGTCTGTGTTTAGCCGTCCATTAGACGTCCATGTTTAGCCGTCCATTAGACGTCCGTGTTTAGCCGTCCATTAGACGTCCGTGTTTAGCCGTCCATTAGCCGTCCGTGTTTAGCCGTCCATTAGACGTCCGTGTTTAGCTGTCCATTAGACGTCCGTATTTAGCCATCCATTAGACGTCCGTATTTAGCCATCCATTAGACGTCTGTGTTTAGGCGTCCGTGTTTAGACGTCCGTTAGAAGTCCATGTTTAGGCGTCTGTTAGACGTCCGTGTTTAGCCGTCTATTAGATGTCCGTGTTTACCGTCCATTAGACGTCCGTGCTTACCGTCCATTAGACGTCCGTGTTTAGCCGTCCATTAGACGTCCGTGTTTAGGCGTCCGTGTTTCGCCGTCTATTAGACATCAGTGTTTAGGCGTCTATTAGACATCAGTGTTTAGGCATCTATTAGACATCAGTGTTTAGGCGTCTATTAGACATCAGTGTTTAGGCATCTATTAGACATCAGTGTCTAGGCATCTATTAGACATTTATAGTCCTCCATTAGATATTTGAGTTCAGACATCTATTACAAATCCATGTTTATACATTTATTAGACACATCCATCATGTTAAGTTGTGTTTTAAAGACAATTTTTTTTACGTGATTTAATTATTTATTTTTTGTAGTGCCTGTGTGTCTCTCTTCACCAAGATTTATTAAACTAGTTTGGCTTAAACTAATAAACATCATTATGTCAATTGTAATGCTTACCTAAAACTGCATATAATCTAAATATAAAAGTTGCTCTGTTGGCTTTTGTTTAAAGTGTGTGTGTTTGTGTGTGTTTCAGGGGCTCGATGAGCAGTCTGGAGTCGAGTCACAGTGGTTTCTCTCTGCTCAGTGCCTCCACCACCTCCTCCAATCACTCACACACAGCTTCCACCATCTCCAGATAGTCGCGCACTTTAACACCAGAACTAGAGTGAACTAACACCTGACTGATGCCTTTATCAGTTTATATCAGCAGAAACTGCACACTTACTGTATATTAGACGCACATTTTCTCTACTTTGTTACAAATAAATTTGTAAATGTTGTTACCTTTGTTGACTAATTGAGTGTTTTTTATGTTGTGTGTAAAGCTACTCAACCACTTTTAAAATGAACATTTCGAGATCAAGTTTTACAGTCTAATATTTTGTTAAACAGCCTTTAGTTTTCAGTATTTTGATTGAACAAATGGTATAGTTTGATAAACTTTATGCAGCATCGCATAATTTATTTCCGTCATTAAGTGTTCCTTACGTGTTAAAATCTTATATTAATACTAGCATGAGCTCTGATACCTGAACCTCTGTAAAGTCTCCTTCAGATTGAGTTTGTAGATTTGTGTCAAACGCCTTGTTTGATTTTGGCATAAAGTACAATGACCAAATAAAGAACAAAATATTATAATTACAATATAATTTATTGTTATATTGTAAATTATAAATTATAAATACGACAAATTAAAATAAATATGCACAACAGTTATTATGAAACAAGGTCTATATGCCAAATGTTCCTTCAAATCAACTGAAATCGAGAAACGATAATCTCTTATTTATTTATTTAAACAGACCTGATCTTGTGTTCTTCCCTGTTGGCTTTTTGAACTCCCAATACATTTTATTCATTATAAACAACAAAAGTGTTTAATGTATAAAGGAAAATGTAACTCCTAATGTAATGTTTAATGGATAATGCTGTAACAAAATAGCGGTATATTACACGCCGCTAAACTGTAAAACAAAAAGGTTGACTCAATTTAACCCTCGTGTCATGTTCACATCTATCCCCTTATTACATTAGTGTTCACAGGTAAAATTGAGCGCTCTATTGTAACTGCTCTTATATTAGCACAAAAAAAAATTATCACCAAATTTTTATTCAAGATTCTTGAGCTGTGAACTAGAGATCTGCGTGGGGCTAAATTTTGAAAAACGCTCCTGCCAGGTTTTAGCCCGAACCTGACCACTCCAGGGGTCCGTTCTTCGTGATCTAAGATTATTTGGCAGATCCTGGATCTTTTAATCTTGATAACTGATCTCTCGCGAGTTCGCGAATCAGATTAGAATGTTTGGATGAACTGATCTGAGATCGCTGCATGTGTTGTGAAGAACAGATCTATCGATCCTCGAAATCATGATCAGCAATGCAACGATTGGCTGACGGCACAGCAGCGTAATGACATCATCTGATTAATATTCAATTATCCATGCGAGCAAAATTACATCAAATTAGCAGTAAACGGCTTGTTAAATATGACACGCAATAACCTTCCACATTTGTTGTGAGCTGCAGGCTTTACACTTTCATGTGTCGAGAGTATTCATCATGTATTTCAATGCAAATCAATGTATTTAGTTCTACATTTAGAAAAGATTTTCTTTATTATAGAAGGCGTTTTTTAATCGGTGTAAAGAATAACTGGTTGTTTACAAAAGCATTTTCATATTGGTAAAGGCGTCTGCAACTTTTGTGAAGCATTAAATCACTGACATATTAACTATCAAAACATGTTTATGACTGCATAAATGTATTATTGCTATAAAAAAGTCTTTTTATATATTGTGCATTTCTATTATACACAATTTGTACTATAGCGATCTAAAAAGTTCATATCAATACGTTTTCTCTTTGCACCACCAGGTGGCAGTCTTTGTACTTTCATTTCGAGGGTGCAGATTGCATACGTTTTATTAATATGTATAACTTAATTTATTTTATTAATGACTATAACTTTATATATATAGTTAAAAAAAATATGTACCATTTTCCCAAGTGTATATAACTACTACTGTAAGAAAATATCAGAATTCAGAACATACTTTCTCTATTATCTTTGCTTGAACTGAACCGATCTAATAATGTTTAAATAAATTAAACCTTATTATATGAATTTGAGCTAGCAGAACTGTTGTTATGACAACAACTCTCGGATCAGCTTTGAAGAACAAACACGATCCTGGATCGTGTCAAATCGTCAATATCCAAATCCAGCTAACTGAGTAATCCACGTACGAAGAACGGACCCCAGATTATATTCAGCATTTGTTGTTGCTGCCCGCCACGCCCATTCCCACTAACAGACGGTGGGGAGAACAAAACCAAAACCACCCAGCTATAGTCCAGACAGCCTATAATACAAACACACACACACAAGCACCAAGCAAGTGACACACACACAGCACAAAGCTCTCTCTCATCCAAAGTATGTGTAATTGCATTGTATGTGAGTATATATATAAATACACATATAAATGTACATATATACACACACACACACACATTTTATCAGTTATAAACACATAGCAATGTTTTTCACGTGTTGGTGTGATACTTTGTAGTGTACAATTTAACATAATTTCCATTAGTAAATCCAAATGAGAGCGTGAAACCTGGCGTATACAAAAGTTTTTGTGTGTACGTAGCATTAATACATGAGGCCCCAGATAATTACCTCTTTAACAGAGATGTTTGTGAACTGATCCTTGGGTGTCACAAAAAAAACAAGAGAGAGACATACAAAATGTGCATGACAGGGGGGCCCGAGGACCAGAATTGAGAACCACAAAGTGCAACAAGCAAACTCCACACGAAATGCCAACTGACCCAGCCGAGGCTCGAACCAGTGACCTTCTTGCTGTGAGGTGACAGTGCTAACAACTGAGTCACCTTGATCAACTCTCCTATAATGAAGTAAAAATCATTAAAAAAAAAGAGGGAAAATGATCTTTCAGACACTGAAAACACATTTAGAAATGAAATGACAGCAAATGATGACAAGACAGTTTTCTGAACAGACTTTAATACGGTGTTGAGTGCATGAACATAAACATAAAAGTCTTTAACATGAAATAATAATAAAACTGAATAATCACATCAACTATCAGATATAATGTTGGTCGACAGCCGTATATTAATAATCTAAATAATCTGAGAATTGTCAAACTTCCTCTTATTTTTCTATTTGTGTGTGTGTGTGTGTGTGTGTGTGTATGTGTGTGTGTGCGTGTGTGCGTGTGTGTGTGTGTGTGTGTGTGTGTGTACTGCTGAATATATATATATAATATGTTGTGAAAAAAATACAATATTACTACTAATAATAATGATAATAACAAATAATTCCAGTCATGTATGATTTTGACGTGTCAACTTCAAAATATTTATTACTAAAATGATTTCAAGTATTTTCCCAATAGTAATCATTAAGAGTTCAGACATTTCTCTCTAACAATTAAAACAGGAAATGCAGTGTAAAAACAGGAAACAGGAAGTGAATTTGTCACAAGCAGCAGTGTTTAATACACAGATCACAGAAAACACAAGAAAATAAATGTGTTTGTGTGTGTTATTTAATGCGACACAGAGACACTGAAGATTTATAACCAAGTCTAAATCCAGCGTGGAGTGTGTCGGTGAATGTGGTGTTGAATGTGTGTAAGTGTGTGAGTTTATCAGAGACACTGTAGAAGGACAGAGAGCCGCTCGACTCGTCCACAAACACTCCTACTGTCCTGCTGGAGTCTGGACGAGCTGAGATGTGTGTGAGTTCATTATTGTGACAGACAGAGAATGAGTGATCAGAGCAATCAAGTCTCCAGGACTGATCATTACATCCAAACCGACAGTCACTCCGTCCTTTCCTCTTGATTCCTTTATAACAAACTGATATTTCAGCATATCCGCTCCATTGAGTCTCCCAGTAACAGCGTCCAGTCAGACTCTCTTTACTCATAACCTGATGAAACTTATCAAATCTGTCTGGATGACGAGGATAAGACTGACTCTCCTTCACACGCGTCGCCTTTCTGTTCTCCTCAGACAGAGCGAGGCGTGTGTGTGCTGTGTTTGGATCCAGTGTGAGTTCACAGGCGTCTGAACACAAGAACACACACATTACAACATTTACAAGAACTAAACTGTAAACTCTACAGAAGTGTGTGTGTGTGTGTGTGTGTGTGTGTGTGTGTGTGTGAGAGTGAGAGAGAGAGAGAGAGAGAGAGAGAGAGAGAGAGAGAGACTTACATTTGTGTAGTGTTGATACAGTCCTGAATTCTCCTCCATGATCCACACTAGAAAAAAAAAAAAAACACACACACTTTACTGATCTATTGAAGAAACAGAAGTTCGTCTCTCCATAAGATGAGAAGCTTCAGTGTGTTCGTTTTTAGTGTGTGTGCGCATTTGTGCCTGTGTGTGTGTAAGCTAGTATTTGTCTCCTTGTATCTCAGGCGACTGATCTTGACTATAAGAGAGAGAGTGAGTTTTATCATTCAAATGCTTAGATTTCCACCCTAAATTAAAAGATGTTTAGTTTATGACACATTTACAGTATATCAACTGTTCACGCTAACAATTATATCATATCAATCTGATCAAAAACCTGTAAACAAATCTATATTATTAATGTCATATTCATGGATTAAAGTGACAGAATTGGTGTTGGGTGTCATCCACTCTTCGACAGCAAGACACCTCAACCAAGGAAAATGCACAAAAGATGACTTGACTTTGTTATGAATGCATCACAGTAGATCAGATGCGGAGAAACAACCTGTGTAAATGACTAATCTGTCCTGGTGCAGTTTTGGGATTTCATCCTCGGAGGACTCAGCCTTTGCTACTGTTGCTGAAACATGCCTACATCTAACATTATAATCTTCTAAACAAAAACATTTAAATATTCAAATCTCATTTTCATTTATTGATTTAATAACTTACTCCTAAAATCTTAATGCTTTGTAATTGAATAGTTTTTGAATAACTATTCACTGAAACATTTTTGATGGTTGGTTGTCGCCATCTGTTGGCCTAACAATGTCATTGCTACAAACTTGTTTAGGATCATCAAATTTAAATAGCTTTTTTTTTTTTTTTTAGCTCTTTTAAACTGTGATTTTAATATTTACCATAAACTTTTATTTATTTTTTTATATATATACATATCTGAACCAAACAGTTTTCCCAGTACTTGTACAATGACAATTTGTCTGTAATTCAGACATAATACTGGTTGAAAAGAGTAATGCTGTGCTCACACCAGATGTGGCACATGTGGATAAATCTCGCTATTTGCAGATAAACAGACGCGTGAACATTTGGAGTTTCCTTGCTTCATTCGCGGTTCAATTTCATGTTACATGTGGATTCGTGTGATGGGTAGGGTTTCTGTCTGCCCGGTGACTGTAGCGTTGTAGCTAAATGGCTAACATGGATTTTATTTAGAGAATAGCTGTGATTATTTGCTTTATAAAGGCTGAAAAACAGCAAATATTTATTTGACACCATGTGTGAGTCCACTAGATACATTAAGAGGTGCACCCTGCTTCAGATTTTCCAACTCGAGCAATTCGCGTGATAAGTGTGTCAATCGTGCTAAAATCTCAACACGAGCCGCTTCAGTCGCACAAATCGCGTCACTCTCGCCGCCTCTTTCGCGCTTACCGTGCTGCAGGATGTCTATTCGCATCTTTGCACTGACAACATGTAAATCACTCGTGCTTGACACTTCATCAGCGTCTGGTGTGAACGCAGCATGAAGGTGCTTTTGTTAATGCTCTGAACGTAATGCTGAGATCATCGAATGACTAATAAACAAAGCAAATCACAACCATTTAACAAAAAGTTTCTGCTCTCGCCTACTGCACCTGACTGTGCTTGCATTTAAACTTTCTTTCATCTCGTTTTATGCTTGAACAACTCTAGCTGTGCAAAAAGACCATTCTATTCATTAGATGTGTTGAATAATTTCCACTTATCGATTACATTACCCAAGTGTCCACTACTAATGGAACATATTGTAAAATGTTTCAAAGACCTTGACAGGTTATGATGGATTTTGTAACGTGATTCATATTCATCATATGTTATACGTCATGGTTATAAAGTTTTAATGACAGTTTTAATGACACCATTTTCATATAAAGTGTTAGCCAATATGAAGATCACAGGATGATCGTTTCTGTTTAACTTACTTGAGTTTGTGGAGGTGTTTGAGCTGATCAGAGAGCAGTTTGAGTCCTGCTTCTCCTGGGTGATTGTAGCTCAGATCCAGCTCTCTCAGGTGTGACGGGTTTGAGCTCAGAGCTGAAGCCAGAGCTGCACAACCTTCCTCTGACACCAAACAGTAAGATAATCTACAGCAACAGTAAGAGCTCATGTTAGTGTGTTTTATTTTAAATATAAGATCTTGTTTAGATCACAAAATCAGTCAAAAGTGTCCAGTTTTAGAAACTGAGATGTATGTCACATGAAAGCTAAATTATTTAGCTTTTAATTTGTGTGTACTGTCTGAGAATACAACAATATCTGGTGACCTGCAATCTGAGGGCTAAAAAAATCTGAATAATGAAAAAAAATACTTTCCTTATCAAACAAAGCAAAACAGATCAATCACGCAAAGGACATTTCATTTACATTTATAATCCCTCCTCCCTCACACATCCCTTCCAAACATTCCTAGCCTTTATATGTTTAAGGAAGTCCCAAAATTCCAATCCCCTTTCCCTTCAAGTCTTCATCTACATATACCAGACACTAAAAATCTCATTCCCAGCCACTAGACTTTTCTAAAAGGTTATTCAAGTGTCATTGAGTAATAGTATGTTGTGGGACTGCTATACAAGAGTTATTATTGAGGACTATAGATAGCCAAATTGTTTAAATTTTCTTATTTTACTGTTTTCTTTTCAAAAAGCATGGCGAGAAAACACGAATGCCTTTATGAATGTATCAAAACATATGCTTGTTTGTTGTAAAAATTCATAATAATGAGAAAAAAATAATAATTTGTGGATCTCCCTTCTTCCAGGTGCAGCTACTACCGTTGTAGATGGTGTATTCTGGGAAATCTTTATATCCCCTCTGGTTTTGAGTGTGGTGCTGAAAAATATCAGTTTCAAGGGGTGTCTAGCCCTTCCACTTAGTTCTATGCCATTATGCTAAAGAGAATTGGGACACTCCTACCCTTTCAAGTGAAAAGAGGGCCAGGGGTAAGGGGAAGAGGTAAGGGGTAGAATTGGGATTGGGTCTAACAGATACACACAATACAGTGGCAATTAATAAAGGACATGAAATACCTCAGTATATTGAGTTGACAGTTTGGGCTCTTTAATCCAGCACAGATCAGCTTCACTCCTGAATCCTGCAGCTCATTATTACTCAGGTCCAGCTCACTCAGGGGGCAGTTTGATGATTGTAGAGCTGAAGCCACAGTTTCACAGCACTGATCAGTGAGATTACAGTCTGACATTCTAAACAGGATATTGAAAAATAATTCATTATAAACTATTTAGATAAACAACATTTGAGATAAAAAAAATAAAAAAAAACAAACAAACATAAATGTTTGGGCATGTAAAAGCTTTGCCACGGCCACTAAACTTTCATTAACTTGAGTAACCAGTTAAAGGTAGAAGAAACATGTCAAACCTCAGTGTGTTGAGCTGGCAGTTCTCACTCTTTATTGCGGTAAAAATCAGCTTCACTCCTGAATCCTGCAGAGAATTGCTGTTTAGGTCCAGCTCTCTCAGGACACAGTTTAATGATTGTAGAGATGAAGCCACAGTTTCACAGCACTCATCAGTGAGGTTGCATTTTGCCAGTCTAAAGAAAGTCATGAGAAAGAATTCATTGCAAACGTGGTGCATAGACAGACTATGATGTTTGGGAGAACTGTATGCATTGTTCCATGAATTTGATATAAATATATGTTTATACATTTTGCCAGAAGTAATAATAGCAACACATGTATAGTAAACATTGAAGAATCACCATTTCATTTGATCTGTTACCGTATTCAATACAATTGACCATTAAATATTAAAAAAAACAGAGGAGCCAAATGAACATATGGACGTTTACTGTGCATTTTCAGTTACAACTGGAAAGGGCTGCCGTGAGTGATTTGATAATTAATTAAATATTTTACAATTGAAATTTAGTTTTTACACTTTGACTAAAATAACCAATGTTGGTTAATTACAAGCCACTTAATTAAAAACATATAAAAATTAAATATTAATTTAGTAACAAAATACTAAGTACATGAAAACAATTTGATTTGTGTGTGTGCTGTACATTTGTGTTCATTAGCCAGTGTGAGTTATGTCAGATTATCAGATTTATACTGTATAACACAGTTTACCAGTAATGTTAATTCTGTTTCACTTTCCCTGCAATACAACATCACATCTGTAAAACGTTTATGACCATCAGTTGCTTGGGAACATCGAGATAGATACAAAGGCATTGTGATATTGAAAACTGATAGATTTCCCCCAGACAAAATAAAGCAGAGTGTGTACTTCTGTATTGGGAAAGGTGATAGAGGTTTTAGTTCTAAAATATTGTTTCTATTGTTTTTAGTTCAAAAATAATAATATTAAACTTTTTGTTTCTTTCCTTGTTCAAAAAGTTGCAGCCTGTTGCTTACATTTGAATGTGTTTTGCACTAACAATACAAGCCCCTTTCACACAGTGATACCGGTAAATATCTGGAAAATTTCCGGAACGACTTTACCGGTATATTCAAAAAAGTGCTGTTCACACAGGGGAGGACGATACGGAAATTTTCCGGAAAAGAGCATTCACACATCCATTCCAAAATACCGGTAAATTCTGACATCATTCACCACAAATGAGCTTTAAACGGCTGCGCTTGTATTTGTAAACATTCTGCATGATTAATATCTGTCATGTTCACCAGCGAACAACCACCAGATGTCGCTGGTAAACACACACACACTTAGAACTACACTTTTCCTGGACTACATTTTCATACATGCACTTCTCCCTGACACCCACGCTCATTCACCTAACTTGATTGCATTCACCACCTGAACCTTGTCATAGACTGAACTCTCACAGCTGTAACCACCCACACAATGATTATTTGGACAATTTAAACCCCTCTTTTCCACATACGTTGCTGAGTCTTGTTCACTGTAAAGTAGCATTACAACGTGGTTTCCTTGTCTTGTTTTCCTGTGTTTTGAACCTAGCCTTGTTTATTTAGTTATCCTTGTCTGCTGCCTGCCTTTTGACCTCTTGCTTGTTAAATTGACTACGTTTCTGGATTGTCTTCACACACCTGTTTGCTCCCATATTGACCACTGCTTGCCTGACTGTGAATAAACCTGCATATTGGATCCTACCTTCTGTTGTGGTGTTACTCCCCGGCGTTACAATATCAGAACTCAGATTAGCATCAGAAAACAGAGATAAGGTAGTTTAGAATACAGATAGAGAGAAACTGCAACTTCCATTACCACATCATTGTATAGTTTTGTATGCTATTTTATTATTACATTTCATGTTGAGGGTTGGCAAGTAGGCATATTACTGAATAGAGCTAGACAATTAATAATAAATTCAAAATTCATTAAAACTCATAACCTAACCAATGCAATTCTCCTATGTTGGTTATTTGAGTTTTTACATCTGTTAATACAATCCCTTTAAAACATGTTATTACATGTGGACAGACTGAGCACCTAAGAATGCAACCTGAAAAAAAAGAAAACAAAAAAAAAAACAGAACACAACTCTTTTATTCATTCATTTTTTTTCTGGTAAATCCCTTTATTTATTAAGGGGTCTCCACAGCAGATTGAATTGTCAACTTATCCAGCACATGTTTTACGCAGTGGATGCCCTTCCAGCCGCAACCCAACACTGGGAAACACCCATACACACTTTTTCACACACATAAATTACGGCCAATTTAGTGTATTCAATTCATCTAAAGTGCATGTGTTTGAACTGTTGGAGAAACCAGAGCACCTGGAGGAATCCAACAGCAACATGGGGAAAACATGCAAACTCCATACAGAAATGGCATCTTGCTGTGAGGTGATCGAGCTACCCACTTTGCCACCATGACGCCCACACAACTCTTTTATATGTCAGGTAAATCATATTCATTGGTTGCCTGGTAGGAACAACGGTGATTTAAAACTCCGTCATGTAGATCATCCACATTTTTACTACAGTAAATCAGTTTGGCTGAACGCAGACAATGTAAATAATATTCAGAAGCCTGACAGATTATTAGTAGCAATAGTTATTTTTATTTTTAATTGACCTATAACGTGTCAAGCATCACTCATTCACCTACCTCAAATTTCTTACTTTATTAGGAAAGGCGTTGCCTTAGCAGAATTAACTGCACTTTATTCTGAATTTAATAAACTAAGTATTACACTTTTGCTGCTATTAAAATAATTTGTGGTATTGAAAATAAATTCACACCAAACTTTCGTCAGAGCTTTTTCAGCTGGAATAAAAATGTTAATTGTATTAAAGGCAAATAAAGGTAGAAGAAAATTCTCAAACCTCAGTGTGTTGAGTTGACAGTTTGGGCTCTTCAGTCCAGCACAGATCAGCTTCACTCTTGAACCCTGAAGATCATTGTGACTCAGGTCCAGCTCTCTCAGAGGGCAGTTGGATAATTGTAGAGATGAAGCCACAGTTTCACAGCACTGATCAGTGAGATTACAGCCTGACAATCTAAACATATTGGAAATAATTAATTACAAGCTCACCCTATAGATATACAATAGCATCTGAGAGTGCTGTATTCATTGTCTCAGGTTTCTGATAAGAAGATAATATTTAATTGTTATGTACTCTCATTACCATCTGGTCTTAAGATAAAGTACGTTAAGAGTTGTACTTGTTTAGCATTTAGGAGCTTAGCAAAGCATCAACAACTCAACCGACACTCATGACCAGAAGCAATTTAATAAAAAAATAAAATAAAATAAAATAAAATCCAAATCTACAAGTCAAGGCTATAAAGATCCTTTCAACATTCATAAAATTAATTTCATTCAGATTATAACATTCATAGCTAAATGTACCATGTTAAAAGCAGAAAAGTTGAAGATTGTGTGACTAAAAGTCAACAGGATTCAATTTACAGGAATGGGACAAAGATAATCACACTCTGAACCAAGAACAGTAACTGTACTGAGCTGTACTGAGACTGGAGCAATAAGTTGGGTTTAAAACTAAACACAATTTATAAAAGATACTCAGAATCAAATAAACTCTTCCAGGTTAAGATGGGTCCAGACTAGAAAACATCTGACACTCCAATATCTTTCTACTTTAATTATTTTTTTTACTTAGTATCTTTCTGTCAACAGTTCCTTGTTAGTTAAGTAGTGCTGTGAAACCTAAAACCTGTACTTAAACTTGATATAAATTGAAATTTAAGGATCCATTTTACTGGCTTCCCAAGATGTTACTCTAGTGATAAACGGACCACTGGACATCCCATGTGGGAGCCTAGCTCCGCAAAGGATACCACAGTGGGAATCCCTACAAGATGCAACAAATGCAAGTAATGCCTCCAGATTCTTGCTGAACCAGTGCATATAAATTATGAAATGTATGAACCCAGTCTAGGACATAATAGAAGGGACTGTAATTGAAACATCATGCTAACTGGTTAGCATTTAGGCAGATCACCTACTGCAACTTTAAAATCTTGCAACTGTGCTTAAATTACTAAATGTTTTCATTAGTATATTTCATCTCAGATATTTATATTTGCAGCAGAGTCAACAATTCAATCAAGAACTGGAAATGTTATTTGTTTAGTTATAGAGTCAATCCTCAAAATCTTTAAAAATTCCCCCGAAATCCTATTCAACAATTCTTATGAAACATTTATAAATTAGGTTACCAAATTTTATAGATAAAGGAAAAAAAAGTCAAACCTCAGTATGTTGAGTTGACAGTTTGGACTCTTCAGTCCAGCACAGATCAGCTTCACTCCTGAATCCTGCAGCTCATTGTGACTCAGGTCCAGCTCTCTCAGGGGGCAGTTTGATGATTGTAGAGCAGAAGACACAACTTCAAAGTGCTGATTTGCAAGATTACATTCTGACAATCTGAAAAAGGTAGAACTTTGGTTAAAGGCATGTTGATAAAATGATGTGACAAGCTAAGCATTCAAAGACATTTTCGTATATGTATAAAGCTGTGTGAGTTGTTTACACATAGCATGTGAAAATATGAATTGCTTATTCTAAATGTTTGTAGTCTCTAGTGGTGTCAAAATTAATTGTTACTTTGGTGCACCGCGATGCAGACACAGACAATTCGGTATCGGTTCAGTTATAATCATAACCGGTTATTGTGTAGTGACGTCATTTATCTTATATGCGCTATGTCGCCGTAGCTTACTATGGCGAGGGAGGTAAGTGCGAGTATTTACAATGCTCCAAATACTTAAAAACTTTCACTGCGTGTGTGTTTGCTGGACTGTCTTTTTCTGACACTTACAGCAGAAGCCCCTATTTCACTGTGATTGAGAGAAGTAAACTCCATTTCTCTCTCTTTCTCTCTCTATCTCTATCTCTCTCTCTCTCTCTCTCTCTCTCACTGTGGCTCTTTTGACTTGCTGGCCTGACTTTTCCTGGTCTTGCCTCTCGGCTGTTACAGCGATACTTCTGAATACAGACACGAGCACTTGTCTGCAGTGTTTTCTTCACAGTGTCTATCATGGATCAGCTGTGATTGCCGCTGGCGTTTATCAGTGTCACTCAACTGTAAAGAGCGCCAGTGGGTTAGAGCCAATCGCAGCCCTTTCTGTTGAGTGCGTCACCAATCATGGGGGTGTAAGAAAAAACTTGCTATAAGCGAGCAGGATATTTATATTTGTTTATTTGCTATGAATGCTCATGTTGTTTGAAGGTACAGTTTGTACATTGAAAATCCACTTTAATGAAAATATATTGAACAAACTCAATTAATGTAACCATTTAGCAGAAAACAACATGTTTTACAACAGATTTTAGACATACAGCACAGCCATCTTGGAATGTCGCTGTGGGGTCATGGGGTTGGTCGAGTTTCCTCCGCTGAACAGAAACAATGGAAGTAAAAGAGACTGTAGTTGTAGTGAAGTTGTGGACGTGTAACTGCTGCAAATACATGCATTAGATGTGTGGCTAATATAAAAGTAAATATATATTTATTCTATTGTTCTTTTTCTCCTTTTAATTACCTATCATTTGATGCGCTTTGGTCCTCTGTCTGTTACGCTGCCTGACTGCCTGTCTGGGTTTCACCCATGGTTGTAACTGACTGAACACGGAG